ACATCGTCTTTCCAGATAACAGAAGGAGAGGTGACACCCAGACGAAGGGCCCTGGGCAGGAGGGCAGAAAGAGGAGTGGGCGGAACACACAGGCTTTCGCTGGGAAAGCCTGCAGTACAGGCCACATGAGGTCTTGGTGACACACTGCCTTGTCTGAATGTGTGAGGAACTAGCACCTTGACCCTGAGAAAACTACACAAACTTCTCAACTTTGGTGTAAATTGTGGAATATAGCCAACACATACAGAAGAACACAGCGTATCAATGTAGAGCAAAATAAATACATCTGGAGGGAGCACCTGTGTGCGCATCACCCAGGCAAGAACTAAAACATTGGCATCGCCTTTGCAGCCCCCGGGTGTTCTCTCCCTGGTCACACTTGCTTCTCTATTTCCTAAAAGTAACCACATTCATAATTTTATAGTAAACAGTTTCTTGTTTCTTTATAGTTTGACCACGTGTGTGTGTGTGTGTGTGTACACAATATAGTTTTGTTTTGCCTCACTGAACACTATATTAATGGGATCATGCTATCTGTGCACTTCGTCTTTTTTTTTCACTCAGTATGCTTTTAAAATTCATCTGTTCTATTGCATTTCACAGGATTCCATTAATTTTCATTGTTACATGGAAGTGCATTGTATCAATGTCTGACATCGTTAATTCATTCCACTGTTTATCGACATTTTTGTTGTTCTCAGTTTAATTACAAACAATGCACCTACGAACACTCTTACGCTGGGTCTTACGCAAGAATTTTTACGCAAGATTTTTTTAACATTCTTACGCAAGAACTTTAAAAAATTTTTTTCATTTAATTTTTCTTTTTTTAAGTTCAGCTTTTTATTGAACACGTTATCAAAGAGGTTTAGTCAAGAAGACCAAAGCACACGTCATCATCAGACTCCTCGGATTCTTCTTTCTTTGCTTTCACTTTCTTCCTCAGCTGGAGCAGCAGCAGTGGAGAGGCAGGACTTCCTGCGGGTGCAGCATCAGCTGCTGGAGCATTGCAGATGAGGCTTCTAGTGTTGACACTGGCCAGGGCCTTTGCAAACAAACCAGGCCAAAAAGGTTCAACATGATACCGACTGCTTTAATGAGGGCATTGATCTTATCCTCTGTGACAGTTACCTCATCATCGTGCAGAATGAGGGTCGAGGAGATAGATGCAGGCGAGTCGGAGATGAATGCAATGTTGCAGGAAGGCATGGGGCTGGCCCTGCCTGGCGGCATTGCTAGACGCCGGATGAAGTGAGGACCTCACCCTAACAAGGCCTTAGCTTCTTCAGGACTGAGCACCTTGATGGCAGCTGAGGAAAGGCAAGAATGGTTTTTAGAGTATACATCCGGAATGGAATTGCAGGGTAAGACACAAGATGTGTGTTTTCAGCTGTCATTGGAAATGCCCAATTGTTTTCCAAAAGCAGTGTGTAAAGTGCACCTCTTGCCCCAAGCCTTAATACTTGTTCTTGTCAGACTTTTTTTTTTTTTTCCAATTTAATGGGAATACAGTATGTCTTCATGGTTGTAAAATCTTGATGATGAATAAGATTGAAAACCTCTACATTTGTGTTTTTCCTCCTCTGTAATATCTGTCACAGTCTTTGCCTTTTTTTTTTTTTAACTAGGTGACATGGTTAGGCTTTGTGTCCTCACCCAATCTCATTTTGAATTATAATCCCTATCCTCCCCACATGCAAGGGAGAGACCAGGTGGAGGTAATTGATTCATGGTGGCAGTTTCCCCTATGCTGTTCTCTTGATAGTAAGTTTTGACAAGATCTGGTTTTTTTTTTTTTTTTTTTTTTTTAGATGGAGTCTTGCTCTGTCGCCAGGCTGGAGTGCAGTGGTGCAATCTTTGCTCCTGGAATTACAGGCATGAGTCACTGCACCTGGCCCATCTGATGCTTTTATAAGGGGCTTCACCCTTCACTTGGCACTTCTCCTTCCTGCCACCTGTGAAGAAGGTGCCTTACTTCCCCTTCACCTTCTGTCATGATTCTAAGTTTCCTGAGGTGTCCTCGGCCATGCTGAACTGTGAGTCAATTAAACCTCTTTCTTTTATAAATTACCCAATCACAGGCAGTTTTTTATAGCAGTATGAAAATGGACCAATACACTAGCTTGTCTATCTTATTGATATTAAGTTATTTTCTTTTAAATATTTTGAATAAAAGCACTTTGTTGGTTATATATGCTGCAATTCTCTCGTATTTCTTGGCTTATATTTTCCTTTTTTTTTTTGATACAATCTCACTCTGTTGCCCAAGCTGGAGTGCAGTGGCATGATCATGGTGCACTGCAGCCTCAACCTCCTTGGCCTCAGGTGATCCTCCCATCTCAGCCTCCAGGTAGCTGGGACTATAGGTGAGCCTGTAGCCACCATGACCAGCTAATTTTTTTGTGTTTTTTTGTGGAGACATGGTTTCACCATGCTGCCCAGGCAGGGTATTTTCCTATTAATGATGCCTTTTGAACTGAAGTGTTTTAATATTTTCATATTTATCTTTTTTATTACAGATAGTGCTTTTTAAAATCTCATTGAGAAATCTTTCCCTACCCAGAAGCTATAAAGACATTCACCCATTTCATTTTTATTTATGTCACCTTCTTAACACATTAATTCTTTTATCGTAGTACAATTTTACTCCTCTGTCCTTTGGCTTTCGTTGTTGCTGTCGTGAGGTCACGTGCTAATTTTGTTTTCTCTCTTTTGAAGTGATCGCTTTCATTTTTGGTTCACCTACTGCAACATTTCAGCTGTATATATCTATGAATATTATCAAACACTAAAAGCAGTTAAAAGAACAGAACAGTGGACATGACAACACTTGGCCCAAGGATTAACCATCGGTAACAGTTTTTCCTGACTGTGCTTAAGACCTCTTTTTCTTTGATAGTCTCTAGTTTTATTATCATGTATTTTGTTATTTCCTTTAGCGTTCCTGCTTGGGATCCAATGGAATTCTGGAATCTTCTGGATCAGTATCTTTCATCAATTCTGGAAAACCAATATGAATTTTTTGTTTTTTGAAATGGAATCTTGCTCTGTGGCCCAGGCTGGAGTGCACTGGCATGATCTCAGCTCACTGCAACTCCTGCCTCCTGGGTTCAAGTCATTCTCATGCCACAGCCTCCTGAGTAGTTAGGATTACAGGCATTCACCACCACACCCAGCTAATTTTTGCATTTTCAGAAGGGGCAGGGTTTTGCCATGTTGGCCAGGATGATTTTGATGGAACTCCTAAGCTCATGTGCTCCACCCACTCTGGCCTCCCAAAGTGCTAGGATTACAGGCATGAGCCACTGTGCCTTGCCCCAGTATCAGTTTTCTATTACTGAATAACAAACTGCCCCCAAACCTAGTGGCTTAAAACACTCATCTATTTTGCGCCCAAGTCTGCAGTGTGGATAGATGCCTGAGAGGACGGTGTGCCTCTGCTCCAGGTGGTGTCATCAGAGGCAGCTCGTTAAAGAACAGCTAGGATGGCTCAGGGCCAGCAAACAGATGCTAATGTTGAGTGGTTTTCTCTGCCTGTTTTCTAAGAATAGAAGTTCAGAAGTTCAAAGATGCCTTTTTATTTTGTACTGTCTCTGTCTCTTTCAGTCCAAACTGATGAAATTCCTTTAAAACTTTGCGGACTTCCTATGAATCAATTGATAAATTCACTCCATTAGACAAAGGCCACACCTACAGATTTCATAGAGATCATCTTTTCTCTACTTTGAGCTCCTTGTGAAATTTACAGAAGCCTAATTGTTTAACAGAGAAGGCTGGTAAGGCAAATATGAAGACCCTTAAAAGGGCCTTTGATGTGTTTGAAAGGAGGGTCTATGGGGAAAACACTTAAATCTAACTGAGATTTTAACAAAGGTTTTGGAGTCAAATCCTTGGTTTCATCTTTAGACCATATTCTTGTGACAGTGCTCTGGATTTGATCTTTGCCTGAAAATCGTTCCTTAAATAGAGAATCATTTATATCACTTATAATAGAAAGAGACTGGAATGAGAAACATTTTTATTTTCAAACATAGTAAGTCTTGCCACCTGATTTTTTTAAACTCGACTTTATCTTTTAGAGCTGTTTTTTATTCAGAGCAAAATTAAATGAAAACTCTAGAGAGTTCCCACATACTCCTCCCTGACCACATAGACACAACCTTCCCACCATCAACATTGCAGTCAGTGTGCTGCATTCTACAGTTAATGAACAAACATGGACACATCATCAACCAAAGCTCATGTTTGACATTAGGGTTCACTCTCCGTGCTAAACATTCTGTGGGTTTTAAGTGTAGAATAACTTCGATTCACCGTTATAGTACCAGAGAAAAGTTTCTCACTCCTTCCCTAATGGAATTCCAGTCTGAATATGTTAGTTCTTCTCCCCTTCTTTGTCATGTCTTTTAGCCTTTCTTTCTTTGTTTCTACGCTGCACTCTAGATCATTTCTTGATATTCCAATTTACCTATTTTCCATTTGATTTAATCTTCATTTAAACCCACCTATTCAAGGTGTGTGTGTGTGTGTTTGTGTTTTGCGACGGTGTCTCAGCTCACTGCAACCTCCACCTCCTGGGTTCAAGCAATTCTCTTGCCTCAACCTTCCTGGTAGCTGGGACTATGCCTGACTAATTTTCTTTTCTTTTCTTTTTCTTTTTATTTATTTATTTATTTTGATTGCAATAACACAATCCTGGCTCACTGCAACTTCTGCCTCCCAGGTTCAGGAGATTCTCAGGCCTCAGCCTCCAGAGTAGCCGGATTTGCAAATGTGAGCCACCACGCCCAGCTAATTTTTGTGTTTTTAGTAGAGATGAGGTTTCAGCATGTTGGCCAGGCTAGTCTTGAACTCCTGACCTCAAGTGATTCACCCTCTTTGGCTTCCCAAAGCGCTGGGTTTACAGATGTGAGCCACTGCACCCGGCCCAGCTATTCAGTTTTTAACTTCAATTTTAACTCACTTCTTTAAAAAAATTGTTTGACTTTTTTTCAGTGGTTAGTCCTGCTAAAGCAAGACCTCAAAAAATTAGTTTAAAAACTCTGAGGTGTTCATCTCCATGGGAATCTTTAGTAAAAGGTAACAGATTTATATGAAGAGAAACTAGAGCATTGTTTGACTTTCATTACGGTGTAACTTGCAGACAATGAAATGCATATATTTTAAGTGAAGAATTTGTTCAGTTTTGACAAATATATACACATCTGTCACCGTCTTCCCAATTAAAATAGAGAGTACAACTGACCCTTGAACAACATGGGGGTCAGAGGTGCCAACCCCTCAATGAGTTTGAAAATCCATATGTAACTTTGTCTTCCCCAAAACTTATATGCCAGTAGCCTACTGTTGACCAGCAGTCTTACCAATAACATAAACAATTAACACAAATTTTGCATGTTGTATGTATTATATACTGTAATCTAACATTAAAGTAAGCTAGAGAAAGGAAAATGTTATTAAGAAAACCATAAGGAAGAGAAAGTCTATTTTCTATCATTCATTGGAAGTGGATCATCACAAAAGCCTTCATCATTGTCTTCATGTTGAGTAGGCTGAAGAGGAAGAGGAAGGGTTGATCTTGCTGTGTCAGGGTTGGCAGAGGCAGAAGAAAATCTGTGTATAAGTGGACCCGCACAGTTCAAGGGTCAACTGTATAACCATATATGAGATGGAGTATTCATCTATACTTCACCTACTCTATATATGTATATGTAATGGGCATACGCATGTCTCTAGCCATTTACTTATATAGAGTACATCCTATTTCATAGGGAGTATTAAAACATACAGTGTATATCCAACCTTTATTTCCATTTGCAGTCAATACCAGCCAGCGCACCCTCTCACTCTCTCCCCAGGTCACCACGGATCTGGTTTCTAACAGTATATATTGGTTTTGTCTGCTCTAGAGCTTCAGACACATGATATCATAGAGTATGCACTCTTCTGTGTCTGGCTTCTTCTCAGCATAATAATTTCAAGATTTACTCATGTTTCAAGTATCACTGGTTGTTCTTTTGATTGTCTGAATATAACACAATTTGTTTATCCACTTCCTGGTAGACATTCATGAGCTTTTCCCACAGGTTTTAATTATTATGAATAAAGCTACTGTGAATATAGCACACAAATATTTTCTGGGGACATGTGTTTTTATTCTTTTTTTTTTTTTTAATTTTTTTGAGACGGAGATGGAGTCTTGCTCTGTTGCCCAGGCTGGAGTGCAGTCATGCGATCTTGGCTCACTGCAGCTTCTGCCTCCTGGGTTCAAGAGATTTTCCTGCCTCAGCCTCCCCAATAGCCAAGACTACAGGCACGCACCACCACATCTAGCTAATTTTTGTATTTTTAGTAGAGACAGGATTTCACCATGTTGGTCAAGATGGTTTCGATCTCTTGACTTTGTGATCTGCCCGCCTCGGCCTCCTAAAGTGGTGGGATTACAGGCGTGAGCCACCACGTCCAGCCTGTGTTTTAATTCTTTCTGGGTAATTACTTAGGAGTGGAATTGAGGAGTGATAAAGAAAGTTTAAGTTTAGTTGTATAAAACCAAACCACTTTTCAAAGTGTTTGTCCCGTTTTACACTCTCACCAGCAATATATAGAAATCCGTTACTTCACATCCTTGCCAACGCTTGGTATTGTAAGTCTTTTTAAAAACTTTTTACCCATTCCACTTAGTCTGTAGTAGTATTTCATTTTAGTTTTAATTTACATTTCCCCATGACTAAAGATGTTGAACATCTTTTTAAGTGTTCGTTGGCCATTCACAGAATTCTTTTTAAAGCATCTGTTAAATCTTTTGCCAGTTTTAAAATTGGGTTGCTTCTCTTCTTATTGAGTTGTAAACTTTTTTCATATAGGCTAAATATAAAATTGCCTTAACTATATTCACTGCAAATGTTTTCTCTATGTACTTTCATTAAAAAAAAGTTTTTTTTGTTATTGTTGTTTGTTTGTATTTTTATTAGAGTTATACATACAAGCACAATATTTAAGAATCAAACAACTCTACAACTGTGTCATTTTAACTACTCTCAGAGCACTTGGCGGCACCTCTTTCAGCTTTTTTTTTTTTTTTAATTCATTTCCTTGAGTCTAGATGACTTGCTCTTTGGTGAATTTCATTTTAGCATTACCCTCTGACTTCCCACCAGGGAGGATGAGGGTTTAATTCTTTCCTATGGACACACATACTCTTTTCATCCCCCCATCTTTCCAATATGTTATGCCATAATTTTGTCTACCTCGATATTCAATTTACATTATTGGGATTATATGGAAACTGCACAATTGAGCTATGTTGTAACCTTTTAATACTTTTCCTTTCTCATCTAATATTGTTTAATTGTCTTGTTGGCTTAGTTTTCATGTGTTGATCACCCATTCAACCCCAAACTCGTTGCTGACTGTCTAAATCTCTCTCAAGTTGTTCATCCCTATGAAGTAGCCCTTCCCCAGAAAGTCTGACTTGCTACAATCTGGGCTGGTTGCGCTCCGTGTCGTCCTGAGGATTCCCGTCATCTGTATTAGAGCTCCTGATGTCTTCCTTTTTCAGCACTGACACCATCTTTGTGAGAAACATCCTCCAGTAGCTAATTGTCTGTGCAATTACAACAGACATATCACCTCTCCTCCTCTGTTTTTCTCTGTAGCTATTCATCACCTGACGCATTAAAATATATTTATTTGCTCATTCTGCCTTCCCTACCAGAATGTAAATTTCACAAATATAGAAACACCGTCTTATTACCCAGCTGAACTTCTGGCACCTGGAACACTATCTGTTATCTAAAAAACATTGTCTAACTTTTTTTTTTTTTTTTTAAGAATCAAAAAGTCTAATCCTTCCTTTCTGAATGGGATAATAGAGGTCAAACCGAAATTTTATTTTGGGTATATGTATATTTATTTTGCCAATTGAATTCTAAAGTAAAATGCTGGAATATCTGTCTAGTAAAAAAGGTCTGAAAGAATCACCTGGGCAGAAGCAACACTGGATTCTTACAGGGTTAAGGAAAATGCTTCAGGAAAATTGTGCCCTTTAGAGAGAACTTAAATGATACTGTCTTCAACCATGTTTTTCTAGCCTGTAGAGCTTTTTAAGAAAGAAATTGAGACTGTTTCCTCGCCGAGAGTTATACAATGAATGGAGAGCTCTTATCTGTGCGTGCACAGTCTGACAATTGCAGCCTTGAAAAATGACGTTCATTGAGAGAAGTTTCTGAGAGTCAGAGAGAGGCTGCCACAATAAAATGTATTTATAGAATTCTCTTGTCTTGGCTTAGAATAATTTGGTAGACAAATAAAAGTCTGGGCATTAATCTTTTAATAAGAATTGCTGCTTTTTTTTTTGGAAACTATTGAACAAAGTACCAAGTATTCTGATATGCAACCTCTTAATATACAAATTCAGAAGTGTCATGAATTACATGGGAAGACACCATGCTTGTTTTTCTAATGATTTCACAGGGTAAATCTTGGCTGACCCAAGCCTCGTTTGACCAATTCAATGAGACCTCAGTAACTGACCTACCCAACCAGGAAATCCACCTACATGCCTATCCAGCTCAGGCTTCTGCCTTTGGTGGCATCTGAGGGTTTAACTTTGCACTCAACTACTTGGTTTAGTCTACAGATTGAATTATGTATAGATTTGCTAATACTATATGTATATACTGTGAAATAGTTCTGATGTTAAATACTGATCCCACCTTTACTGAGTAATGTCCTTATCCAGAACTAGAATCATTGCCTGTGCGAAGTTGATGTTGCATAAATGGTGTCTCCTGGAGTCTATAATGTGAATGGTGCTCAATCAAGTCGTGCGACTTGGCAGCCCTGGGGCTCATCTCTTCCTCTCTTTGGACAACACTTTTTCATCCTTTTCAGTCCAATAGCTTCCCAGGGTCAGTGCTGACAAGCTCCCTGTGGAGTGCTCTGAGTCTGTCCATTTGCAAGTGCTCTAAGATCAATCTCTAAAGAATAGTTGTGTTCTACCAAACAATGGAGTATAGCAGCTCTTTTTTTCCATTGCTTTAACTGTGGATTGTCTAAGTACCCCAAGATCTGCAAGGATTGTGAAAGATTATACAATTGGGCATTTGTGACTCTAAGTGAGAGAAGGAATCTTCTAGATTGCATCCTAGCTGGAAAATGCCTCTCTAGTTTTCTGTTGCCATTGACTTACTGCTCATTCCCAATATTTTACCAGGAAAGTAGGACTTCTGGCCACTGGCTATAGTTTTGCAATTTAGCAGGCTTACTGATAAACCAACCACACCTCTCTTACTATTGTCCCCTCAGCACCTAGTGTGCAACGCTGGGCACAAACTCAGTTAATGTTTTTTTAACTAAATTAAAATTGAAAATTTGTAAGCTAGGTAGTTATATCGGTTGTGATCTATTTGTATTGGTTTCACAGTAGAAACAATAGATGGATGCACATTGAATCACAATGCTGATCTGAGTTGATTACAACAACTAAACAAACACAACCTTTGAGTTTGCATTTCATAGAAATCCATAGGGAATTTGTTGTAGGAGATATTTATCTTAAAGCTTTTCTTTCTGACCAACAGGGCTGTTAGCTCTGAGAAGAGCTCCTGAATTATGGAAATTGATTTCTTAGAAAAAATTTCAGAATAGAAGAGGCAATCATGTTCTTTGGATGTTTGAGTTGTAATTTTTTTTTTTTTTTTGAGACAGAGTCTCACACTGTTTCCCAGGCTGGAGTGCGGTGGTGCCATCTTGACTCACTGCAACCTCCGCCTCCTAGGTTCAAGCAATTCTCTTGCTCAGCCTCCCGTGTAGCTGAGATTATAGGTGTGTGCAATCACACCCAGCTAATTTTTATATTTTTAGTAGAGATGGGGTTTCACTGTGTTGACCAGGTTGGTTTCAAACTCCTGGCCTCAAGTGATCCACCTGCCTTGGCCCCCCAAAGTTCTGCGATTGCCAACGTGAGAATAGCACTCTGCCTGCGATGTAATCTTAAACTGAATCAGGGCAAATTTTTTTATTAATAACTAATAGAATCACTTATTAATAATTATATCAGCACTTTTCAGTTAAACATGTGTAATTGTATAAAGTATATTATTTGAGCCTCG